AGAGGGGGGGGGGGGGGGGGAAGCAAGAAAATACAGTTCTGAGTCAAATAGTTTCCTTTTTTGTTAGTTAGTAGTTTTCTTAGTTAGCTGAATCCCTTCCCCGGAGGGACGGCACGACTCCCAACACACGGCGCTTCTTTCTTGGGCGGGTTTCCGTTTGTGCCCCAGCTCCAGCGCTAACAGCGCCGCTCCGCACGGCAACGCCAACGGGGGAAAGCGCCCGCTTGCGGCCCGGGGAGCGGAGCGGCGAGAGCCGGGCCCGCCAGGGGCCCGCCAGGGGCCCGCCAGGGGCCCGCCAGGAGCCCGCCAGGGGCCCGCCAGGAGCCCGCCGGCCGAGCTCCGGCCTCCCCGCTCCCCTTCAGCCGGCGCGGCCCAGGCCCTCCCTAGCAACCGCCCCTAGCAACGGCCGCCGACTACGACTCCCAGCATGCCCCGCGCGGCCGGCCGCCCCGCTCTCAATGTCACCGGCCCCACGCCGTCCCGGGGGACGCCGCCGCCCCGGCCCCTCACCCAGGCAGCCCGCCCCCAGCACTCTCGCTCCCCTTCCCGCGCCTCGGCCTCCCCGCCAGGCCCACAGCCAACCTCCCTCCCTCCCCACACCGCGCCGGCAAGCCCCTCCGGCGCCGCCCCCCGGCCCGGCACCCACCGGCCAGCTCGTCCAGGCGGGAGGTGGGGTGCCGCGGGGCGGGGGTGGGCTTCTCCTTGCTGATCTCGCGGCGGGCCCGGCTCTCCAGGTTGAAGGTCCGGAACACGCGTGTCAGCCGCCCGCCCATCGCCTCCACCACCACCACCACCCGCGGCTGCGCGGAGCGGCGGCGCATGCGCAGAATGCGCAGAGGGCGGGCGGCGGGGAAAGGGGCCGGGCCGGTTCCGTCCTGCGCGGCGGCGGCGGGAAAAAACAAACCAACCCCAAACCCCTAAATTAAACGAAAAACCAAGAAATGGGGTCGGGCCGGCGCCTGCCGTCCGCGGGACACAGCTGCGGTTCGGCCCGAAAGGGCGCCGCGGGGTCCGGCAGCGAGAGCGGGGGGGGGG